GAAAAAAAGTGAAAATAATACATCTATAAAATGGGAGAAAATACTTGTAAGTTATATCAAATAAGAACCTAGTTTCTAGAAGATATAAAGAACTCTTACTCCTTAACAATAAAAAGACAACTTGGTTTAAAAAATGGGTACAGGATTTGAATAGACATTTCTCAAAGATACATAAATGACCAACTAGCACATAGAAAGATGCTTGACATCATTAGTCATTAGGGAAATGTAAATCAAAACCACAATTTGGTACCACTTCACTCACACCCACTAGGACAGCTGTGATTTTTAAAATGGACTATAAGAAATGTTGGCGAGGATGTGGAGAAATTGGAACTGTTGTGCATCACTAGTGGATATGTAAAATGGTATAGCTACTATGGAAACAGTTTGGCAGTCCCTCAAAAAGTTAAACATAGAATTACCATCTGACCCAGTAGTTCTACTCCTAGGCATATATCTGAGAGAATTGAAAACATATGTTCACACAAAAATGTGTACACAAATGTTCATAGTAACTTTATTTATAATAGCCAAAAGGAAAAAGCAACTCAAATGTCCATCAACTGAGGAATGGATAAACAAAATGTTGTATATCCATACAATGGAATATTATTCAGCCACATAAAGGATTGAATACTGTTACATGCTACGATATGAATGAACCTCAGAAATAATATCTTATGTGAAAGACGCCATACATAAAGGCCATGTAGTATATGATTCCATTTATATGAAATGTCAAAAACAGGCAAATCCATAGAGACAAAAACAGATTAGTAGTTGCTAGGAGATGGGAGGAGAGGAGGAGAATTGGTACAAATTTTAATAGGTTCAGATTTTCTTTTGGGGGTGATGAAAATTCTGAAATTAGATAATGGTGATAGTTGTACAACATAGTAAATATATTAAAAAGTACTGAAGTGCTTGCTTGAAAATAGTGGGTTTTATTTTATCTGAATTATATCTCAAATGAAAATACTAAAATTTTTTAAAATATGTGTGCCCACATATGAAATGAAAAATGTTGTGACAGATTAGAGACTTGAATATAAAATATTTCCCAAAGGGCAAAATAATTTGCTACCCTCCATAACCAGTAGAGTACTTTGTCTATTCTGTGGCTTTTAGATGGTTAAGACAAAAGTCCTGTGTTGTGATTTTTAAGGCTGGACAGGAAGAATCAGTAGATAACTCTCTACGCAGAGCCAAGGAATGTGATTAGAGATATTATGCAAACTGAAATGATAAAACCAAATTACCTCCTTTGAGCAAATTACCTGTGTTCAGAAACAGCAGGGAAGTTGGAAAACTAATAGGTAATGGGGGTAGGACAAAAGAGATGTGATTTTTATTTTTTAATGTACAATTCAACAGCAGCTCTCCCTAGATTTTGTGCTAAAATAAGAGCATTTTCACACATTTTAATTGCTCTGTGATAACAACAGTGTGAACTCCATCCACAAACATTTATTATCTATTTAATTTTGCTCTAATTTCAGTGTAGCCAGAATTCACCTTGTAAGTGGGCGTAACTGTCCATTTAGTGAAAAGAAATCCCTTCCTGCATTGCTTATCCTATTGTACATTTCTATAGTAAAATATTAATTTAAAAAATGTCCCTTTTATCTCTACATATTTACATATTACATTTGTAGATTATTATTCTCAAAGTAGCATTTTTATGAACTAGAACTTTATAAACTGCAACATTAGTAAATAATATTTAAAACTTAAAAAGATTTTATATTTCTGGTCAGGATTTTAGATGAAACTTTCATTTTTTATAAACCTTTATAGCATTTGGTTTATGTTAAACTAGGAAAGACTCGTCTTTTAAGATACATTTCTATAATGATATTTGTGTAACTTAATAACTATCTAAATTATCCCAATTATTTTCCAGACTTGCCATTTATTCCATCCTTTATAGTGATGCTACAGGACAAGAGGGAATGGATAAAAACATTGGCGAACAGCTCAATAAAGCATATGAAGCCTTCCGACAGGCATGCATGGATAGAGATTCTGCATTAAAGGAACTGCAGCAAAAGGTGTGTGGTTCTGATTTTGAAAGTTGTTTGGTTCTGGTTTTGAGAAAGTTGTTAATCCCAGTAAATGAAATTTGAAAGTCTTTTGCACCTGAAAAAATATTATATTTTTAGAAACTGGAAAACTATAATTACTGAAACATAGGGATATATTAATTGATGACATTAATTTGAGATTTTTTGTTGCCTTTTTAAAAAATTATTGTGGGGGCTGGGGTTGTGGCTCAGCAGTAGAGCACTTGCCTATCACATGTGAGACCCTGGGTTCAATCCTAAGCACCACATAAAAATAAATAAAATAAAGATATTGTGTCTAACTACAACTAAAAAATAAATATTTGAAAAAAAACTTAAAAAAATAAAAAATAAACATCAAAAAAAGTTATTGTGACCTGTGATATGAGTTGATTTGATGGGTTTGTATTAAGATGATTGTGTTTAGGAAAGAGAAAAAATGGTTTCCATATATAATTTTTAAATATCAGTGCTTATTTTTGTATATGAGTAAATAAATGTAAAAACAATTTTATGACAGATTGGAAGTTAAAAGTATCACCGTCTCTCAGCTAGTTTTGTTTTTTGATTTTTTCTTTTACCTTGTTATTTGGATGACAGGAAGATTGAAAATCTTAAAATATCCTGGAACTTAATTTGTTAGTCATTTATAAAAAAAATCTTTCATTCTTTATGACAGTTAAAATAGACTATTTCAGTGAAATCTTTCCTGTTTTATTAAAAGTTTCAAGCTTTAAATTATTGCTGTACACATAGCATTTCTGTTTAGTACTTTCAGCATCAAAATAAAGTAATTTGGAAGACAAAAATTATTTAAGCTAGTAGTTCCTAAGCACATGTATGTCATTGATCTATCATGAGGTTTTCACCAATCAGTAGCAAAATGAGAAAAATAAGAATAATGTAATGAACTTTTTGTAATGCTAAATGTATTCCACTTAAAATTCTGTCCTCTAATCTGACATTATGTTCCATGTTTCTGTCTTATTAAAGATCAGAATTGTATTAACATACACTTATGAAATGATAATGGGAGGATTGTTTCCTTGTTTAGTGTCTTTACTTAGTTGTATTTCAGAGGTCCCCAGTTCCATTCACACATTTTATAATTCAGTAGAAGAACTCACAGTACACAGCGTCTAGTCATACTCATAGCTTAAGATCTACTACAGTGACATGGTAAAGATATATCTCCAGATCATTCATGGAAAAAGACATCAGGAGGAGTCTAAAGGAAGTCATGTCAGTCTTTCTATGTACTTTCCCTCCAGCTTTACAGATTCTTTTATGTTTATAAAGCATAAGAAACTCCATTTGAGATTCAGAGTTCAGAGGTTTTGTTTTTTAATTGAGAGCTAGTCACATAGATACCCTGTATCAGCCAAAATCCAAAATTCAAAAGAAAAGTATGTGTTCACCACAAATTTCATCGTACGTTGAACTAGGCTGGCACAATAGTCACAGTCTTATCACTTAGGAAATGTTTTCAAAATTCAAGTTCTCAATGCCATTCAAGGGTCAACCTTACAAAATACAACTTTTTGAAGATAACATCCTGAAGCTGAGCATGATAGTAATCCCAGCCACTCAGGAAGCTGAGACAGGAAGATTACAAGTTTGAGGCCAATCTAGGCAATTTAGCAAGACCCTCTCTCAAAATAAAAAGGGTGCAAGAAGTAGTTTAGTGGAAGAGCACTTGCAAAGTCCTGTGTTCTGCAAAAATCCCCAGTTCTTCAAAAAGAGGGTAGAGGACAACCTCAGGCCTACCATGTTAAACTGTGCATGCACTGGCTGTTGAAAGTAGGGACTCTTACATTGGTTCACTCATTTAAAAAAAGAAGAAGAAGATGGGGCTGGGGTTGTGGCTCAGTGGTAGACCGCTTGCCTAGCATGTGTGAGGCACTGGGTTCAATTCTCAGCACCACATATGAATAAATGAAATAAAATAAAGGTTCCTCAACATCTAAAAAAATATTTTAAAAAAAATAAATAAATATAGAATTGCCACAGTCTGGCTGGGCACAAAATCACGAGCCACTCACAGCCTTGTAGATTCAAACAGCAACTCTCTATTCCCGAACTCACACCGGCACTCTACACACGTTCTGGGGGAAATCCACATTCTGAGCCAAATCTCAAATACTCTCTCAATCCCCCAAGAACTCAAGGAGCAGGCGCGCCTGAGGCAGCAGGATACGCCCTATTCCTAAACCGGGAACTAAACCCCGATCTGCCCTAAACCCCGATCTGCCCTAAACCCGGATCCACCCTGGTCCTTGAGCAAGGTCACCTTACATGCAATGTCACTGCAAATGACCTGGGTCATGCCATGCGTCATTCTTACTTAGCAATGGCCCTCAGCATAGAATAAGAAGAAAGAATGATTTTTACTAGCCTATAACATTTTGAAGTCTAAGAAATACACTAATTCTTACTTGTTTCATAAATACAGCATAGAACTACACAGTTCCCTTTCTCCTTTCTAGTTGATAATATACTGGTAAATGCTTATATTATATGTCCTTGCATTCCTCAGAAACCATCATTTTTCTTTGTGATCCTCCTCTTGGTTTACTAAAGAATACACATTATATTAATAAGTGGACTTATAGACTATCAGTTCTTTTTTATATATAGGTAATTTTCAGTTGTTGATGGACTTTATTTTATTCATTTATTTATATGTGGTGCTAAGAATCAGACACATAGCCTAACACATGATAGGCAAGCACTCATTCTACCACTGAGTCATAACCCCAGCCCACTATCGGTCTTCATTAGAGGTGGATAGTAGAAAGAGAGGGATGATATGATGAGTCTTCTGAAAATTATTGCAATTAAGTTTAGAATTTGGATTTCTGATTCTTTCCACAAGTATAAGGAATATTCACTTGTAAAAAAAATAAGCAAAAAACAACAGCAATAACAACAACAACAAAAAAAACAGCCTTTATTGTTTTGTTTTACAATTGGGTTAAGAAGCAATTCTACATGTGTCCTAGAAAAGTTTTAGAAATGTAGGATTAGGAAAATAGAACATTGAGATATTGTTAGGTTAAGGAAGAAAAAGAAATTTGTCTTTTAACTCCTATTTTTCTTGTACTGGCCAATGTGGTAAGCAGCTAGTAATTTAATCCCTTATCATACCATGAAAGAAGATTTACACATTAAGCATATATCCCAAATAAAGAAAAAGGGAAAAAAATTTAAATTGATGTTTGTCATGTACTCAATAGTGAATGAAGGAAGAAAGTATGCTGTCTGTTCTTTTATAGTAAAGTCAAGGTAGTGGTCTTAGGTATAGTCCCAAAAAAAGCTCGCCTGGCATGTGTCCAGCCTGGGTTCGATCCTCAGCACCACATACAAACAAAGACGTTGTGTCTGCCGAAAACTAAAAAAAATAAATAAATATTAAAAATTCTCTCTCTCTCCCCCTCTAAAAAAAAAAAGAAAAGAAAAGAAAATATGAAAACAAACATTGATGCCCTTAAGGAACTTTTAAAAGTTCAAATAAGTGATGAATAAAATAAATATTTTATTATATAATAAAGGATAAAAAGATGATCAGTAGTAATTACTGAAGTGAAAGTATAACAGTAAAGATCAGTGCAGGATAATATATGAGCATAGAGAAGAGGCACCTAATTCATCTTTTAGATCAGGTCATAAGCTCCATGTGAGTTAATATTTGGACTAAGATTAAGTTTAGTAAACTAAGGTAGAAGGGTCCTACAAGTTGGAGGAGCAATATGTGTGGTGCTTTGCATGTACCACAGGTGGTACTCTCGCTTCAAAATGAATGATGGACATTGCAAGCAAAATAGCTACAAGGATAGATTATGGCCTGATCATAAGGAGCATAGCTAACTAGTTTATACTGTATCCTATTCAATGAAAAATTACTTAAAGATTAATATGTTCCTTAGAAAAGTCTTTATTAGTGAGATAGAGATAGGTAGGATACAGAACAATGTTGAATTTAGCTCAACATTAACATATTTTATTCTAAGCATTGTTCCAGGAGTAAGGAATATAAAACTACGTGGCAACCTCAGTTGCACTTTAAGCACTCTAATAATTGTATTTATACAAAATTAAATCTTAATATACAATTACATATAAAATATACATTGATATGTATTAAGTATATGTATTACATATTATACTTTGGTTTGAAAAAGAAAAAAATGAAAGACAATCATTTTCAATCCATCAAAATAAGGACCTAAACTAATTAAGCATTTTAGGGATGAATTGGAGAAGAGATCTAAAATTTCTTTAGGTGATACATTGGAAAGTAGGTGGCACCTGAATGTAGGCCATTTCTGAGAGTGAAGGCATAGACTCTGGAATGATACCTAGGAATCTAAAATCAATGACCAGATTAAAAGTGGTGCTGATGACTGAAATCAAGAGTACAGAAGAAGGTGTAGATTTGGGGATGGGGAAATAAGACTGTGTATAATTAGGTTTTAGTTAATAAATTTCATTACCTGTGAATTTCCATGTGAATAATCCATGTTTAAACCATCCATTTTCATCTGTATAATTTCATTATACAGATGAAAATGGATGGTTTAAACATGGATCTGGAAGCCTAGAAAGACTTTTGAGTTGGAGATAATAGTTGCAGTAATAAATAAATGGGGTTTTTTGTAGCTTTAAATGTGAATAACATTTCCCATTTAGAGTATATAGGTTGAAGGTGTATTTGAAGGACAGAAATGGAGGAGGATAAAAGGAAGGAAAGAAGGCAAACCAGTTGGCTTTCTGATTCTAGAGATTCAGAACATTAAGCAGTTGAGAGACATAGGAAGAAAGCCTAGAGAACATCAGTATTTTTAGAAATAGACATTTAGAAGGGGGAACCATTAAGGAGATTAACAAAAACCACTAAAAGGAAGGAAACAAATTAACAAAGAGTGATACCATAGAAGCCATTGGAAAAGAATTTCAAGAAGAATGTGGTAGTTCGCAGTAACAGATAGCTAAGAGATCTAGTTAGATGATGCCTGATAAGCATACGTTTCATTTGGCTGAATTGAGATTATTGACATTTATGAAGACAGTTAAGTGGAGCATGGAAGGCAGATTGCAGTAGACTGAGAAGAATTAGGAAATGAAGGACTAAATGCACTGTAAACTATATAGTCAAAAGGCTTGACTGTGAAGAAAAGAAATAAGTTGACATAGGATTTTTGGTTTTTTTCTTTCTTGTAAGTTGAGTGAAATGATGTTGTAGAATAATACAGTAGACAGAAGAGAAAGTTTGAAAGTAGAAGAGGAGAAAAAATAATTGATGCCTTCCTACAGTCAATTCCCTACACAACAGCCAGAGTGATTTTTTTTTTTTTCCTTCACTACTGGCAATTGAACCCAGGGGTGCTGTATCACTGAGCTACATCACCATCCCTTTGTGTATTTTGAGACAAGTGTCTCTCTAAGTTGCCCAGGCTGGGCTCAAACTTGAGATCTTCCTACCTCAGCCTCTCAAGTAGCTGGGATTACAGATGCAAGCCACCACACACGGCCAGAGTGATTCTTAGAAAAGACTGTTTGAATGTTATCAGTCTCCTACTCAAACTTTTGCATTTTTTCAAAATCCTTTCTATGGGTAACCAGGGAAGAGTAAAATTTGACTCTTGACCAACACTTTGTCTTTTTCTCTATGCTTTTCACAGTTTTCCACACATTAATTTCTTGCTATTATTCAGATATATTCCTGCTTCAGGGCCTTTATGTTTGCTATACCATTTTTCTGGAGTGGTTTGGATATCCTTTGGATATTTCCTTGGTTTCCCCATTATTGCTTTCATGTTGCTCCTCAGATACTACCTCTTCAAAGAAGCTTTTCCTAATCATCTTTTAAATGCAAGAGCAGCCTCTGTTACTCTCCGTCTTCTAACCCTGCTTGCTTATTTTCCTTCAGAGCATATATTACTTTGACATTATATCTATTTAAATCTGTTTGTCTCCTGAATAAGAAAGTAAACTCCTATAAGGCCTGAGTCCATGTCTCATTCACTGTTATGTCCCCAGTACCTAGCATGTAGGTGTTCAAATATTGGTAGGACAGAAGAGAGGATCAGTAAGAGGAAGAAAAGGAGGTAGTCAGTTGACCTCTAGAAATTCAGAAAAGAGAAGAAGCAATGATATTGAAAGCAAATCATTTGAAATTATGGAATCTGAGAAGAAAAAGAATAAAGGAAAGTAAAAAATAAAAGCCTATGGAACTTTTGAGGCACCATCAAGAAATTGACCATGAGCAGAAAGCAAACACCTTTTTCTCTCAGGACTGGAAGGAACAAGATTAAAAAGTAATCACAAATGAATATAAGTTTGTAGAGGTAGTGGCAGAAAATTAGAGGGATTTTCTATGAAGTATAAGATGAGGTCATCTACCATCAAAATGGCATTTTTTCTTGACCTTGCCCCAACATCTCAGCATAGCATGGTGTAGTTGGGAGAAAATGGTTCAGTTCCTAGTTCTCTTCCTGAGAAAAGAAGAAGCATAGCAGAACTTTTTGCATGTTCTAGTTTGTCTGTGGGCTGCCTAAAGGACTATTTTCTGCCTTCCCTGAACTCAGGAGCCATGAATGGTAGCATAGTTTGGATCTCAGGCTGGACATCAGTTTTCAAGAAAACTGAAGAAGTAATTCAGGCCTGCAAACACATAGGGGTAAACAATTATAGGAGAATAAAGGATTACCATAGAATATATAAGATATCAAGACAAAGCTGGGGTAGGATTTGGGGAAAATTTAATGCATTTATAAGAAGCCACAGACAATCAGAAGTTAAAAAGAAGGTCCAGATAGGACCATGCTAGAAAGGGCCTGAGAAGACCTTAAACCTTCATTCTGAGCTGACCTCCAGGGACAGGGGCCTGCTAGTTAATGAAGGCCTTTCACATCAGATTGCAAAGACTATGCTAGAAGAGTTAGCTCTTTTTCTAAATGCTCAGTTTTCCAAAGAAAGATAACAAGAAATACAACAAAACAGGAAAACAGCCATTCACAGATTCAGAGTAAATTTCCAGAGTACCTCAAGAAAAACATATTAGACTTACTGAACAAAGACCTCAAAACAACTGTATGAAATATACTTAAAAATTTAAAGGAATGCATAAACAAAGAACTAAAGGAAAGCAACGATAAAAAATGAGAACATCAACAATGAGATAAAAACTAATTTAATAAAAACTTAAATTCTGAAGCTGAAAATTATAGTAACTGAATTGAAAGTTTCACTAAATGGGTTCAGTAGCAGATTCAAACAGGTAAAATAAAGAAGCAATGGAATTGAAAGCAAATCATATGAAATTATGGAATCTGAGAAGAAAAAGACTAAAGAAAAGTAAAAAGTAAAAGCCTATGGAACTTTTGAGGCACCATCAAGTGTACCAATATACACATTTTAGGAGTCTTGGAAAGAGAAAAAGGAGAGAGAGGATCACAGGAGTTATTTGAAGAAATAATGACTGAAAACCTCCTAAATTGAGCAATAATGTGGATATAAAAGTCCTGACAAAGCCCAAAGACACTACAAGAATAAAACACCTCAGACTAATATCCCCTATTAATATTTGCCATGATTTTAATATATTTGTCCGTTCTAAAACTCATTGTTAAAATTTATTCTGTAGGGCTGGGGCTATCGCTCGGTGGTAAAGCGCTTGCCTCGCATATGTGAGGCACTGGGTTTGATCCTCAGCACCACATAAAAATAAATAAAGAGACTATGTATTCATCCACAACAAATATATATATTTATATAATTATTTTATAATGTAACTGTTATGATTTGGATCTAATAAGTCCACCAAAGACTCATGTGTTGGAAGTTTTAATTCCCTGTGCAGCAATATTCAGACCCAGGGCTTTGGGAAGCAATTGGGTCATAAGTACTCTTACCTCATCAGTGGATTAATCATTTGATGGAAGGAAAGGAAGGTAAGTCAGTTGACCTGTGGAGATTCAGAAAAGAGAGTCATGACTGAGTGTACTATTGGGTGGTGGTGGGAAATGTAGAAAGTAGGATCTAGGTGAAAGGAGTGGGTCCTTGAGGGCATGTCTTTGGGGACTGTATCTTCTCCCCAGCTCCTTCTGTTCTCTGCTTCCCAGCATCATGAGATGAGCAGCTTTTTTCTACCACACTCTTCCACCATGATATATTGCCTTATCATAGACCTTAAACAGTGGAGCCAACTGACCATGAACTGAAACCTCTACAAGTATGAGCCAAAATAAATCTTTCCTCTTTTAACATGTTCTTCTCAGATATTTTGTTACAGTGACAAAAAGATAGCACAATAACAGTATTAAGAGCCAAAACCTTTAAGAGGTGACTAATGACCTTGAAAGGGTGAGATTGATCCCTCTTAATCCTCTCTTTGCCCTTCTACTATATGCTGATGCAGCAAGAAGACCCTCACCAGGTGCTGACATATTAATTGTGGATTTCTCAGCCTCCAGAACTGTAAGGAAATAAATTTCTATTCTTTTAAAATTATCTGGTCTCAGACATTCTGTTGTAACAGACAAAGCTAAGATACTACAAGAATAAAACACCTCAGACTAATATCCCCTATTAATATTTACCATAATTTGAATATTTGTCTACTCTAAAACTCATTGTTAAAATTTATTTTATAATGTAACTGTTATGTAATAGAATGTTTAAGACCAGATAATTTACAAAGCAAACTGAGATAATATTTGTTATGGTTTAAATATGTGGTATCTCCCAAAAGCTCATCTGTGAGACAATGCAGGAAAGTGCAGAGGTGAAATGATTGGTTTATGAGAGCCTAAATCTAATTAGTGCGTTGATCCATGGATAAAGGTAACTCAGCAGTAACTGTAGGCAGGTAGGGTATGTATGGAGGAAGTAGGTCACTGGGAGCGTGCTTTCGAGGTATATTTTTTATCCCTGGTGAACAGAACTCTTTTTTTTTTCCTTTCTGCTTCCTTGTTGCCTGGTCCTGAGCTGCTTTGCTCCTCCACCAGATCCTTCCGCCTTGATGTTCTTCCTCACCTTGGGCCCACAGCAATGGAGTTATCCATATATAAATTGAACTTCTGAAACCATGAGCCCCAAATAAACTTTTCCTCCATGATGTTCTTTTCAGGCTTCTTGGTCACAGCAGTCAAGAAGCCTATTAAAATAATATTGATGCAGAAATCCTCAACAAATTACTAGAATGCCAAATTCATAGCATATTGAAAAGATTAGCCACCAAGACCATGTAGGATTGATTCCTACAATGCTAAGATGATTGGACATCCAAAATTAGTCAGTGCACTATGCCACATTAACAGAATTAAAGAAAAAAAATGACATCGTCATCTCAATTGGTTAAGAGAGCATTTGATAAAATTTAACACTCTTATGATTAAAAACATAAAGTAGGAATAGAAGAAAATGACTTCCACATAATAAAAGCTATGTATGAAAAACTCTAACATCATATTTCAGTATGAAAGACTAAAAAGCTTTCATCTAAGATTGGGAATGAGATAAGGATATGTATTTGCATTACTTCTTATTCAGCCTAGTACTGGAATTCCTAGCCAGAGCATAAATAAATTTGTTTACATAATTACCTGTTGAAAATCTTAAAAGAGTCAACATACACACACATGCACACACATACACATGCACACACACAGAGAGATATACACACACATTAAAAATAAATAAACCTATTGTAATAAATTCAGAAAAGTTGCAGGATACAAAATCAATATGGAAAAATTTAGTACATTAGCAATAAACAGTCAGAAAAGAAAAAATTACATTTATAATAGCATTAGAAAAAATAAAAGCTTAAGAATAACCTTAACCAAATAGGTGGCAGACTTGTATACTGAAAACTATGTGACATTGTTTAAAAAAAAAATTAAAGAAGATGCCAGTCTATAAAAAGAAATCCCGTGTTGTTGGAGTAGATTACTGCCTTTCTTTATTTTACAAGAATTTACTCAAAACAGTTAAAAGAACTAAATGTAAGAGCTAAAACAATAAAATTCTTAGAATAAATCATAGGGAGAAACTCTCATGATACTGGATTGGCATTGATTTTTTGGATATGGTACCAAAAGCAGAGACAACTAAAGAATAAAGTAGATTAATGAGATACCACCTTACCCATTGGTATGACTGTTATGCAGAAACAGAACAAAGGTGTTGGCAAGGAGGTGGAACAATAGGAATCCCTGTGCATTGTTAGTGGGAATGTAAAATGGTATAGCCACTGTGGAAAATGGAAAGGCAATTCTTTAGAAAATTGCCATACAGTCCCCCAGTTTCATTCTTGAGTAGATGACCCAAAAAAAGTGTAAACAGAAGATTTGGGATATATCTCAGTAGGCACAAGACCCTGGGTTCCATCACCACTAATGGGCGGGGAAGTGAAAGTATGGACTTACACAAATATTTATACACCCGTGTTCATTGCAACGCAATAGGCAAAAAGTAGAAGCTACTTAGCTGTTTATCAGTGAGTGGATGGATAAACAAAACATGGTATGTACATCAACAGAATAATATTCTGTTTTAAAATGGAAGGAAATACTTACATATGCTACAATATGAAACCTTAAAGATACTACGCCAAGTGATATAAGCCAATAACAAAAGGACAGATATTCCAATATTCCACTTACGTGAGGTATCTAGAGTAGTCTGATTCATAAAGATAGAGTAAAAGGGTGGTTGCCAGGGGCTGAGGGGGAGAGAGGAATGAAGAAATGATGTTTAATTGGCACAGAATTTCAATTAGGAAAGATTAAAAAAAAAAAAAGTTCTGGAGATAGATGGTGATGATGGTCCCACAACAATACAGCTGTATTCACTGTCATAGAAGTCTATAATTAAAAATGGTAAAAATGCTAAATTTTTTGTTATGTCACAGTTTTTTAAAAAATTATTATAAAAATAGACTAAATCATTGGTCTGGTTCATATTACTAGCTGTGTTTTATTGCTTTTCATCTGTCATCTATCTATTACAAACTCACCAACTTTTAAGTCTCCTCTTTGAGTTAGTATACTATATCCATTCAAGAGCATTCTGTCAAGCAAAGGCACCCAAAATGATATGAGAGGTAAAAATAAATAAGGCCGATAAGTGATTGTTATGATATTGTTGGCTTTAATTTCATGTTGGCCTTAATGATACTTATTCCAAAAAGTAGATAATTTAAGATGTACAGAATATGAAGTAATATTGCTCTCTTACTCCCCAAGATTAATCATTCTTAGCAATTTGGTATATATCTTTTTGAGTCATAATTTTTCAAAAATAGATCAAGGGCTGGGAGTGTAATTCAATAGTAGAGCATTTGTCTAGCATACGTGAGGAACTGGCTTTGATTTGTGATTCCCAGCACTGGGGGGTAGGAAATAAAAAGCTCATAGTCTAATACTGTTTATTCTGTTAGTTTTTGTTTTTGTTTATTATTGTTTCTACGTTGCCTAAGCTAGTCTCAAACTCCTGGCTCAAGCGATTGGCCCGCCTCAACCTCCTGAATAGTTGGGATTATGGGCATACATCACCACATCCAGTTGCTTATTCTGTTTCTTTCAGTGTGTAAGCATTCATTTTTACCTACACTAAGAGGTCTTCTGTCTATCCCAAAGTAAAATAATATTGCAATCTAAGTAAGCCCTGACTTAGACAGCTTTTAATATGTTTACAGAATAAAAGATTATTATATAGGGTATGGAGTATAGGATGGTAGAGTTGGCTTGACCTTGGAATTAACTTTCATACAGAATAAGTTGCTGTTTCAAAGGGTCCAATAAATACAATGCTGAAATAATAGAAAAATTAACTTCTTTCTCATGTAACAGTTCAAAAATGAGTAGAACAGGGCTAATAAAACAACTCTACTATCTTTAAAATATGGTTTTCCTCTCTGAAATTATAGTAGCTGCTCTATTGTTACCATTTCCCTTCCAGTGAGAAAGGTGAGAGAAGAAGCTAAAAGCAGCTTTCTGATGTCCAGTTTTTGTACAGATCACTTCCATTCACATCCTATTAGTCAGAATTTAGTCACATGATCACACCTAGTTAAAAAAAAAGCTTTAAAACATGTTGTAAAGGAATGCATAAAGGCACAAAATACCTTTATTGTGGGTACCACATTTAAAAAATTTATTTTCACTTTCTCTTGAGATGTAAATGGCCTCATTATTGTCTACCATCCTTCATTTTTTTCTTTATTTGTTCCAACAAAATATGTGCTGTGCAACAGACACTAGTATGGCAATTTGTAAATCAATGGATGTGTAACTGATGTGAATCTGCAATCTGTGTATGGGGTGAAGGTGGGAGTTCATAACCCACTAGAATCAAAGTGTGGAATATGATATGTCAAGAAATTTGTAATGTTTTGAACAACCCACAATAAAAAATTAAAAAAAAAAAAAAAAATATGTGCTGTGTAAAGTGTTGGTGGTGATAAAGCATTTTATTGTTTTTAAATTTATTTATCAGTGCATTATGGTTATACATATTAGTGGGGTTCATTTTGACATATTTTATAAATGTATATAACATAGTTTTCTTCATATCAGTTCCCAGCACTTCATCTTTCCCTCCCTTCTTCCATCCCCCTGAATCATTTCCTCTACTCTCTTGATCTTTCTTCTCTATATTTTTAATTGATGCATTATATTTATATGTAAAATAGGAATAAATTATGCAATGTTCGTATATGCACATAGCATAATTTGGTTAACTTCATTCTCCAATTCTCCTTTCTCCCTTGGTCCCCTGCTTCTACTTTACTGATGTTGTTTTTACAAGATCCTCCCCTCCCTTTTTTTTTTTTTTTTATTCTTTTCTATTCTCTGTTGAAGGTTCTGGTAGTAGATAAAGGTGCTTTCTGATTAAAGTCTTTTTTCTTTTACACTACATTGTTAGTACTTAGCTGAATTCACTTTTTATCCATCAGAATTTAAATAATTGTATGTTTTTCCCATATTTTTATTTCCAGAAATTTGGGTTGTCAGTATAGTGTATATATCCAAGAGTATTTGTTATTAAAAAATATTTACATTATGACATTTATTCCAAAATGTATTGAGCACCTACTATATTTAAAGGGTGTGAACACTGTGTCCTGATAGAAGGGCAAAAAAGACTGAACCCCATGCAAATAGTTCTTTTTAAAATCCTAATCTCATTCATTAGAGAGGAGCCTTCATGACCTTATCACCTCTTCAAAGGCCCCACCTCTTAATATCATCACAATGGGAATTAGGTTTCAACATGAATTTTGCAGGGTACACAAATTCAAACCATGGCATTCTGCCCCTGACCCCCAAAATTCATGTCTTTCTCAAAAAAAAAAATACATGGTATATTTGTATATGGTGTATATTCATTCTGTCCCAAAAGTCTTAACTCATTCCAGTATAAATTTTAAAATCTAGGTCTAAAGTCTCATCTAAATAGCATCTAAATCAGTTATTGGTGCAACAAGGTACAATTTCTCCTGCAGCATATTCCTTTCTAGCTATAAGCTTGTGAATTAAACAAGGGATGTAATTCCAAAATACAGTGGTAGAACAGGCATAGCACAGACATTCCCATTCTAAAAGGAAATAGCAGGAAAGCAGAAAGGGACAACAG